GAAATGAAGTAATAAACCACTATAAACATACTATAATTCTTACAGTTAGAGTTGTGATGGGTCAGGGGATAGAGCGTTTGTCTTTGAATGAAGTGAACCAGGTTCGAATCCCAGCGATGACTGATCGTTACAAATTCCGCATCCGGCTTGCAGAGGCCACAGTGCTAATGTAAAATATCATCATTGGTAGACAGATCTTGGGTTAGAGTCCCCTTGCCGTCAGGCTAGCTGTGGAAGGTTTTCATGATTTTTCCTCTCCATGTAACGCAAATGTGGGTTAGTTCCATATAAAAGTCTTCCAAGAAGGCAAATTTCTCCCAATACTTGGTCCAGCAGTTCCCTTGTCTTCTGGATTAGGATCAAAATTACAAGGCGATGGAGTTGAACATTAGTAGTCAAAAACCCAAAAAATTGGGTTGGCTGTTCAATGAAAGTTATAAAATGTAAAATAAAATCTTACAGCTGCTTACCATAAATAGATAAAATAAATCAGTTATTCAGATGGGACTACTAAAAAAGCTTGCTACAACCAAGTGTTTGCTATTGACCGTAGTTAATACTGTGAAACATAATTTAGGTGATCACATTTTTGTCTTTTGAAACAGGAAACTCTGAGGAAAATTCTTTGACCAATGAGATGGAACAACTGACCACAGAAGATAAGTCTTCTCAGAGTCAAGAAGAAAGGGATGAAATCGTCATCAGCATCCAGGAAGAAAGCAGCATTAGCAAAGGTTGCTGTTTTCTTTGTTGTACACTTTATGAGTTAAAGTAGACGCCCAATGGTGGCAAATCTGAATTTTTTTTTTCTATAGTTTTCCTCTTTGATTGGATAAAAATTTATTTTTAAATGCATTTTTCAATTCCTTCTATTTATTCCCACTCTCCCTATTATCTTATTCAAATTTTCAATCGTTAATACTTGATGTTAATACAGTCAATTACACTTGATGTTAATACAGTTTTTTAAAATATTAATTCATAAATTTAATTAATTAGTTTTAGTTTTATATGGAAGAAAAAATTCTGAATAAAATATTTTTTAATAAAAAGTAACTAAAATGAAAATTTTCTTTGTTGACCTAAGTAGGAATTGAATCTTTTATTTTTTATATATTACTTATTTAGTGTAATATCAAAATAAACAGATAAAGAAAACTCCGAAATAAGATACAAACTTCTTATTTCATTTAATTTTATTTGCTTTTGATCCATTCAAAACTGCTTATATTGTCTGCCAAATAAATTAGGAGATAAAAAAATTAGTACATATCTGGGTCAGGGATGATAAACAATAATCCTTTATTTATTATTGGTATTTGGGTGATTAGGGTTCTATGGTATGTGAATGTTGAACTTTTGCGAAAATGAATGAAATTTATGACAAAGTTAATTACTTTGGTATTTATCTGGCACTTATTGTACTTATTCATTTATGAATTGAGTAGCGTTTTTAAAAAGTGCTTAAGGGTGCTTACTTTTGATTTACGTTTTTTAAAAGCTCTTTAAGATGGTTTTTTTATTCGGGGTTTGTAAAAAGTTCTTATTTTTCTATCTTTTTTTTAAAAAAATTTTTCTTTGTCGTATCGTATTGAATACAAAATTACAAAAAAATTCATGATTTTCCCAATTTTCTCTGCAATATTTATTGGAAGCTAGTTATTTTATCATGATTATGTAAAGTCAGTGAAATGTTTTTTTTTTTTTTTGAATTTCATTGATTTTATGTTTATAAATTAAGAACTTTAAATGACAGGAAAAAACTATATTTATTACTGCGCAAATCCTAATTATGATGATTATTTTTTTTTTTTTTTGGAAAGTGATTAAAAATATTCTTCGAGTGCTTATTCTTTGTTGAAAATAAAATAAAAATGAAAATAAAGACATTTCCTCTCTAATCAAATCAAAATACATTTATGTTTAAAAACCATTTTTTTCTAATTTTATTAATCATGCATGAGATTCTTCCAATTTTTGGAGATATTTCGAACTAAAATAATAAAAGAAAAAGCTATGTTAAGTGTCTATTTTTCCTAATATTTCTACATTGTTTTGTTGATTTACTTTATTATTTTATTTTCTTTAATCGTGATTATGCATGTATTTTCTTTAATCATGATTTATGTATGTAAATCTTAACAGTTTTTAAATTTTTTAACTAATCTTAAGTTCATTGTGTTGTCAATGTACACATATAGCAGAAAATAATAAGTATGTAGTTAATTTAATTTTTTTCTTTCAGTGAAAAATAGTTTCACACCCTTTTTCATTCATTTTTTCTTGATTTGACTTGATAGATACTTTCAGATTTTTTTTTTATTTTCCCACTCTCATACTAATATGATATTAATAATCTACAATATTTTAAGATAATAGAAACTAAAATTTGTTTTGTGTAGTTCTCTATGAATGACTTTTTTTTTAAACTTCAGATAAAGGAAATCTTACGAGACAGCCTTCTACTACAGAATATCTGCCTGGTATGTTGCATTCAGAAAGTAGACCAGGATTACTTCCAATGTTTTCCTCTTGGTCCCTAGTGTGTGTGGGACCCTCTAGTCTCTACTCCCATAACATTGGTGAGAGTTCTTACTGTCTCTGTATAGTTATGAAGTTAGTCTTCATTTAATCATTTCAGGGCAGCAAAAGAGAAGAAATATTCAGCTCCTAAAATACAACCATTACTTTTAATTTTTATTAGATCCGTATCTGTTTTATCTTGACTTCTATATTATTCATGCACATTTACGCTCCTTTTTATTATCTTAGGAAAGATAACTTTTTCCTTCCGGTTTAAAACAGGGTTGCCACTCCACCGGTAGAACAGGGAAATTAAAAAGCACCTAAAATAACCGGGATAATACAGGGAATTCTGAGTTTTTTCCAGCAAACTGGAGAAATACAGGGAATTTTCGTCTTTGGGATATTCAAGGCGCAATCTTTGGGATATTTAAGGATGATATTTCAGCTATACTAAACTATTTCATTTTCTATAGCATTATCTGTTTTAAGTATGTTATTTCTTAAAGCTTTTCCATCAATTAAAACTAGTATAGCTAGACTTATATAGGTTTCTCAAAAGTACATCAATTGTGTGTTTCCTATCAATATATTGTGTATAATATGTGCAGGGAATTATTTTTCAGATTTGAATGGCAACCCTGTAAAAGAAGAATAAAACAGTAGTTTAAAACCATGCGTGGAAAAATTTGTTTTCTATTGTCAGTATTGTTTGCATTGTCAACATATACATTGCATTGTATTGGTTCAATAATGAAAGAATCTAGGTGCACCCTTAAAGTTTATTTATTTATATATTTAATATGACTATTTTGATTCTGTACTTAAACTTATGCTGTTCAGTTAACCTATTTATTTTTCAGTTTCTGAGTTGTTTGTAAAGAAAATTTTCAGTTGCAGTTTCTTGTAAAAAATCTGTAAAACTCTTAACTCTTAAAAAGGAAAGATGAAGTGAATCTTATGAATGGTATAGAAAGGAATTTAACCACAATGAATAATTTAACCACAAATAAATAATATTTCCTCAACAGGCAGCATCAAATGATCTACAGATGCTTCTCACAAAATTCTTACGTTTGCTTACATTTTCAGTTTTATTGTTAACACCTGAGTAGTTTGAATAGTTTTCTCAAGATTTTAATTATTGATTGACGAATGAAAAAATGTTAGTTTTGAAAGCTCCTAATTATCTTAGCACCTATTTTTGGAGTGTTGTTCTTGGAATTAATCAAAAATCAAACAAAATTTTTATCACCTTGTTTGAAAGTAGGGTTCAGTTCAGACGTTCTTAAGGGGAAGTGTGGTAGAAAATTTTCATTGCAAAATCTCCTTCATTGCTAATTTAAAAGTAAGTTCAGGCAAACCTAGTGTAAGTCATGAAGTTTTAGTTGCTGAAAAAAATACTTCGAAATATTAAAATGGAAACAAATTATTAGAAGAGAATTTCTCAGTTACGTAATCCTAAGTTATTATCTCACGATTTATTTTCATTTGTATATTTTGAAATTTTCTTTTCACTATTTGAAATTCATGGCTTACTCTAGGTTTCCTTGAACTTTATTTTTCTACACTTTAAATTTTAAATTAGAATTAAAGGAGAAAGAGAATTGGCTTAAGGGCGTTAAAATAAAATTGCGTCTAGGGACCAGTAAACAGGACTGCATGTAGTGGTCATTATAATGAAAGAGTCACACTAATTGAGTCATGCTAAATGTTGGCTGAATTTTATATAAAAGCTTACTAATTCTATAAGTAAATGATTTATTTGCATATTAAGATTAAGTTTTTCTTTTCTTTTCTTAAATAGTATAATGACTATTAGATTTTTATATTGTAAAATGTTGTTTTGATAAACATTCTAATCTGCTTGTTGCTATTAAATCTGTAACAGGTTTGCAAGATCAGCCTGGATTCATACCTGGAACAAATTACTTACTTCCTTGAGATGTGGCTGTAAAATTGGAACAAAAAGAACGCTGGCCTGCATTGTGGGAAGGGAAGAGATCGTATGGTCTGAAATCTAAAAAGACTGTTAGAGGTGATTTTTTTTTAAATGCATTTATTTTTTAGAGATTATAGATAACATAAAAATGCTGCTTATAGAATTATGTTCTTTCTTATTATTCATCTATTTTATTTCATCAATATTCAGCTCTGTTTACTACTATGAACATCTATCAACTAATCGAAATTTAGAATTTCTTAAAAACCTTCAATTATTATTATTATTTAGAAAAAAAATATAACTGTTGTGACTAGGGTTGGTGAAATTAATGATTTTTAAAAAAAGATAAATTAATTAAAAATTGAAATAAGTTTTTTTTTAAAATTTAAATCAGATTTTTTTCATTTTTTAATCTAAACTATGATAAAATGTATTAATAATACTTAATTTTATTCAAAAACAAAATAGTAGCTAAAATATTTTATTTTTCCTAACTAAAATAGTTAAGATTATTATTGAATTACAACAATATCTAATTACTGAATATACAGTGGAGCATCGTTTATATGACGCCAAAGGGACCACCGAAAAACGTCGTATAATCAATTTTTACTTCTAAAACTGAAACTAACTCTGTTTTCAGTTAATTTTAATGTTTAACGTGTTGATTTACATACATTTCTAAATTAGACAAAGCAAAACAAACAAATAACCAAAGAAGAAAAATTGCAGTGAGCAATTTGATTGCATATTACCTTTAATTATATTTTCTTGCTATTGGTCTCTACAATGCTTTGAATAGTGAGTTGAACTTACTGCTTTCTATGACGCAATTTAAATTTCTAATCACGGCCAAATCTAATGGCTGAAGCGCACTTGTGCAATTTGCAGGAAAAAAGAGAGCTTTTACATTTTCCAAAATAATTAGTATCGATGGGTACGCTGGACATAGGTCGATAAATAGCAAAATTTTACGCTTTTGCCTCTTCATATTATTGTCTAGTTTTTTTTCAGTCATCTAGTAAAAATTACGCTCGTCATCCAAGAATTCTTGTTGTCACCCTTTTCTGTATCATTCATGTTGGCAAGTTCCACCCTTTTTTAAAATACACAAGAAAAAATTAAAAATTAAATAAACGTGAACAAAATCTAAAAACCGACGTATAACCGATTCTGTGCGTCGTATAAACGATATATTTTTACATAAAAATGAATAGAAATGATTTGGGACCACACTAAAACGTCGTATAAATGTAAACGTCGTATAAGTGATCATCGTATAAACGATGCTCCACTGTAATCAAAATAATTTTATTAAGGCTCAACAATCTCATGAATCGCAATAAAATTTCATTTCACAAACGAGTATTCTTAAAATTTTAAAAATACTTGAATTTATATAAATTTAAAACTCAAGATAATTATTTAATTACAACTATATAATCACTGAATAAAATCAAAATTTTATTCAAGTTCAACAACCTCATGAATTTCAATAAATTTTTTTTTTTTTATGAACACAAACTACATATTTATAAAGTTTTAAAAATACTTGAATTTAAATAAATTTTAAACTAAATGGATATAATTGAAACATGTTCATTAAACAGTGAATTGTTTTAAAAGTTTTATGCTACTTTTATCCACATTTAAATNGTTCAACAACCTCATGAATTTCAATAAAATTTTATTTTTTTATAAACACAAACTACATATTTATAAAGTTTTAAAAATACTTGAATTTAAATAAATTTAAAACTAAATGGATATAATTGAAACATGTTCATTAAACAGTGAATTGTTTTAAAAGTTTTATACTACTTTTATCCACATTTAAATTTTATATTTATTATTCTTTTTTGAATATCAAATAATAATTTACGAACATCGCTGCCCTTTAATTATTTCTCTTGATGAAACCTTCTTGATGGACTTTTAAAAAAATCACATTCTTAAGAATATGCTTATCAATTATATTAAGTAAAAGTAAAAAAATTACCTTAATTTCATGCGTTAAAAGAATCAGCTCATTTAAATGAATGAAATCTTTTTTAAAGCATCAGTTATTTTACTTTTTGGCAATGCAGTAAATTCCATTAAAGAAATATCTTTTACACACCTCACTATAATATCCTTAATTAAAATGCAGAGATCTTCCAAAAATATCTAACTTGATAAATTGTTTTTAAAATGCTTAAAAAATACTTATATAATCTTGATTTTTTTTTTCTTTAACTTTCAAGTTTTTAAAATGTTCATAGTTTCTGTGTCCCGTTGAAAAACTATTATCTTCTGTAGTAAAATGGTCAATAATGGTGCAACATACAATGTAAACATTTTCTACAATGCATACATTTTTGTACAATATATACACATATCAGACTACTTTTGGAAAGGATAAACAACAAACTAAAAAGAGACATATATTATTGCAGACAGAATAAAATGTATCTTTATTATATATTTAATTAAATTTCGCAGTTAGTTTAATGTTTTTTAACTGTTTGTTGTTGTTAACTTTTTAGTTTGTTGTATTACAGATACAATAAAATATACTGTTTTTAATTTCAATTTTGTTTAGAACAGAAAGTTTTCACAGTTTCAATAAAATTTTATTAATGGAGCAATGAACAACTCATAATAGTTTGACATCAGTATTTTAGAAGATTCAAATGGTACTGTTGTATAAGAAAAAGTACAAGACAAGTTACCATTAGTTAACCTCTTCTAATGCCAATATTTAATTAAAATTTATAATTTAGTTGAAAATTTCTTTAATTAAATAATTTTAAAGTGGGGTTTAAATAATTTCAAAATATAAATTAAGTGAATACGCAACTCAGCGTTTGTGTTCAAGAACAATTTTGTGGATAAGGCATCTACTCCATAATTAAAAATTATACAATATGATTATTGTACTGTTGATTGGAATTGTTCTTTTTTAAAATCATATGAAAAAGAAAAATCGACATTAGTGAAACTATTAAACTCCACCCTAATGATTTGTTACTGCTTTTACTGAAAATTATAAATTAGCTCATAAGCTCCTAAGTTCACAAAGTAAATAAACAAATAAAAAATGAGAAAGCGAAATTGTTATTTAAGTTTTTTTTTCTCATAAAATGATGGAATTCTCAAAAAGTTAGAAAAAAAAATCTTATGGGTAAGGCCATGAACCATGTATATAGTTGATGGATGGTCTCTAACCTAAATTTGGACAATTTAATTTTGCAGTTTTTACTAGCATCATTACTTAAAATAAAAAGATGTATCAAAAATCCTAATCTTTTGATTCTTCAAATCTATTATTTTAAAATCTTCATTTGTATTCATGTCTTGAAGAATCAAGAGTATCAAGACAAAAAGTTATACATCTTAAAAAATTTAACAAATAATAAATAATTAAAACAATTTGGAATATCATTTGAAAGCCAAAACATTTCTTTTAATTTTTCATCCATATTGTATTCCTCATTTTAGATTAGTTCAGTTCAAACTGTGAAATTGCTTAAGGACTGAAAAGCAGAAATAGTTTCTGTTATGTTTAAATATTTTAATAAGAATGTTTCCGTTATTTTAAACTTTTAGTTTTATTGAATTGTTATGATAATTCATATTACATTTATATTTTGCATTTGAATAAAAATGCATTTTATTTCGTATCTATGAATCTTATTTTTGGTAATATTTTATTTGTTAAACATTTTGTTTATTGCAAAGGAAAGATTAAGTTAAATAGTAAACATCTAATTATTTATTAAATGTGAATGCATATTGTAGAGATATAGAAATATATAAGAAAGGATATTCATACATAATTATCAATTAAATTTAAATAATTCCTTTGTGTTCATTAAAATCTTAAATCAAGTACTTTGAATACTTAAAAAACAACTGTTTAAATTTATTATCTTTTTTCATTCATTTTAAAAGCAAAATGTATAGTAAAAAAAAATATTCATAATTTTTTGTACCATGTGCAACAAAACAATATGTGCTTTTCATTTCATAAATGCTTCTAAAAATACCATTCTTTAACTTAAAAGCAAGTTATGTGTTTATTTAATTCATAACTAATCACATAACTTATTATTCATGAATCATTTTAGTAATTGTATCATTATGCAATCATTTACA